CTTCAGGAAATTCAACAAGAAACTGATATCCCTGAAAGAGAACTGGTCAGAGCCCTACAGTCCCTTGCATGTGGCAAACCAACACAGCGTGTTCTCACAAAAGAGCCCAAATCGAAAGAAATAGAAAATGGACATATATTTACAGTGAATGATCAGTTCACATCTAAACTACACAGAGTCAAGATTCAGACAGGTAAGTGGCTTTTTATATTGTCTTGTCTTTAAAGTATTTTGTCTTACAATGTTATTTTGTAAGCTTGATGTCCGTACAAGCAGAAGGAAACAAGTCATATTTCTTTGTTGTTAATGATTGTGGAGTTGGACTCAATCCTTATAAGTTTTTTCCAACTTGAGGTATTCTGTGATTTGATAAATCTGTGATTCTAGTTGCATCAAAACAAGAATTTAAAAATGGAAGTATGAAAGTGATAGTTAATAAGCCTTCTGCTTTTCAAAATGTGTACTTCTGTCTTAAAAGGAAATGTTAAATGGGAAATTTGAATAGTAAAATTAAAAATATCAGGCTACTGACTGATTCATAAAAAGAGAAGATAGCCTCAGGTGTGAAAGTTGTTGTACTGCTGTGAAATTGAGCAAAATCTTTATCAGTATAGCAGAGTTTATTTCCACACAGCAGTTAGCTGCAGTGTCTTTGGGCCGTGATTTGGGTGGAGTTAACAGATGAGAGCAACTGATCAGCATGACACAGCTTTACCAGCTCAGTGAAGAGCTGGTTTATGTTACATATAAGTCATATTGATATCTTTAGTTCAGAAAGCTCTCTGGAAATATTGTCTGACTTGTAGCATTGCTGTAGATGCTCTTCCAAGTGTTTTGCAAAATAACTTTGTAATTTTACATTTTAAATTTACATCAAAGATTTTCTGACTTTATGTGTCTTGGTACGTAAAATACACACCATTATTGGCATTTTAGTTGTCTTTTCATGCAACGCTGGTAATTCACATGCTGTTTGTTGTGCATAATACAGCTTTGGGCTTCTGTTTAGCCTGCTATGTCCTGGGATGTAAGTGTGTAAATCCAGGGCTCCATACTTAGTATTACACTGCATATATCCTGCTGCTGAAGCAATAGCTGGGCTGTCTTCATATACATGCACAGTGCTGTGCTCTCAACATGCTCACCACATGTGGAAAATTTCTCTGGTGAGCAGGAGTGCAGCAACCAAATGAAGGGACCAGATCTCTGATCAGGGCCCAAGAACATCACTGGCAGAACTGAACAGGAGTCTGTGACAACTGTTGGAATTTTGGTGTAGTTCTGCTTTATCATTTCACAAATCTCTGGGGTAGAGGAATATGGTTTGGAGTTCAAGGCAGTTTAAGAGCAAATTTGATACTTCTGGCTTTGTTTCTCTTACAAAGATGACTTTTAATGTATGTCTCTTTAAAACCAATAAATACTTGGGGCTTTTGAGTGAAGTATCAGTGGGAGCAGTGTGGGAAGAGGGATTGCTTATGATGATATTGGGGTGAAAAGGTGAGAACAGGGCAGGAACAAAGCATGAATAAAAGAGAGCAGAATACAAGGGTGAAACAGCTGAGATGAAGAGGATAAAGAAGATTGGACTGTTTCATCTGACTGAGGAACTTTTTAAGTATTTAACTAGTTTATGAAGAAAGCTTTGAATCATTTGTGTGTTTTAATTAATGAATTTCATTACTTTAAAGAGAAAAATATTTAATGGGAGCATGGGGGCGGTTGTGCCTGTAAGCAGGTCTGAGTGCTACTCAAATTTCAACATAGCAGTAATTGAATAACAGATTGCTACCTTGTCAGTTGCTATCAAAATATGCCAGAAAATGTTAATATGTTCTTATGGCTGCTTTTCACAAAAAAAAATGAGTTTGAGAATGTGAAAACTTGGAAAAGTATTATTTGACTTCTGAATGAAATAAATAGCAAAGCTAAAGCTTGCACAACATTAATTTTAACTTTGCTAAGATACTTTGTTCTCTTTTTTTTCCTTTTAGTTGCTGCCAAACAAGGAGAATCTGATCCAGAAAGGAAAGAAACAAGGCAGAAAGTAGACGATGACAGAAAACATGAGATAGAAGCTGCTATAGTTCGGATAATGAAATCTAGAAAGAAGATGCAACACAATGTGCTAGTAGCAGAGGTATATTTGTACATAGTTTTAACATGGATTTGGAAATTACTTTTGTTTTTCCATTTGATTCATGTAAGTTACCCAAGTCTAACATGGTTCTGGAGGGTTTTTGACAGATTGTAATTAATCCATCCTGTTTTTCCCATTTATCTAAAGACACCTAAATCCATACCCTGTAGTTTAGAATGTACTCACGTGTATCTGATTTTCCTTCCTCTCTTTACTGCTATTAAAATGTCATCATATTCCATAAGTACCAATTGGCAATGAAAACCACTGTGCTTAGCATGAATTATTTTTCTGCTTTTATCTTGTTGCTAACTGTTGGGTCCAAGATTGAGAGTTCCAAACTCTGCAGAGAGAGAGTGAGAGTGCTCATTGAGTTCTGACACCTTTGCAAATGGGATGTGTTTTCCACTCTTGCACTCTTCTGTGGTTGTGAAATTGAGTGTCTCCAGGTTGACCATTCTTCTCTCAAAATTAAGCAGGCAGCCAAAGGGAAAAAATGATGGGATAGTGAAGATTGATTGTTGTTTCATGGTTGTAGCCAGCCCTGCCTATGTAGAACTTTCTGATTATTTTGATCAGTTAAGATACTTAATGATCTTGCTTGACCTGTAATTTTATGTTATTGTTTTTAATGTTATGTTTTAGGTAACTCAGCAGCTGAAGGCCCGATTCTTACCAAGTCCAGTTGTTATTAAAAAACGTATTGAAGGACTTATTGAGAGAGAATATTTGGCACGAACACCTGAGGATCGCAAAGTATACACTTACGTAGCATAAAATGCGTTCAGAAAATTTGATTTACTCTTGGACTGTACTCTTCGCATGAACTGGGAAGTTCTTTTAAATCATTAATATTAAGACGACCATCTCTTCTATTAAATTACAATACATGTTCTAGACCATTCAGATCAAGCCTTTTACTCCTTTTGAGAGTTTTCAACATGAATTGATTGAGCTTCAGGCTTTTCAACGTTATCCCTGTAGAGATCATCCTTACAATTCTTTGGGAAAATGTGAATGTGCCGCGTTTGTTTTCAATACTGTATGAAAACAGAAAAATAAAAACAAATTTAGAAAATACAGCTCATTAAAAAAATAAAATTGTTGGAATTTCATTTCCCCAGATCTTCAGTGTTGATGTAAACGTGTTTCTGTAGTGTTGCTTAGCACTTCGCGCATTGTATAAGTTGGGTTAAAAGAACAACCACAACTGGTAAGACAGAATTCCCAGTTATATTGCTCTGCTTCAAATGTTTCTTTAACTAGCCATGTTTAATTTAAATATTTGGTAACCTTTTGAAGACCCGAGAATACAACTTGAGCATGTTTCACTCTTCCAGCTGCACTCATTGTTTGAACAACATGAATCAGCAATTACTGGGGGCTCAGAAAAGACCATAATAATTTTGACTTTCCCTTCTGTAATTTGAGTTCTTCTAAATTATACTCTAGGTTTGTTCTGGTTTCTTCATAGGAAAAAGGAAAAGATATTAGTGTGTATAAACTGTATAATAATTTTTGCTGTTGTACTCACTGCTGATGGTGGATTGTACAGGGCGATGTTTTTATTTCACTAAATGTAGACAAAATTTTAAAATAAATGGATCTAGTGTACACAAACAATTCAAGTGTGTTAGAGTACAGGAATGGCAATATTTGGAACTAAATACTGTCCTCCGGGGAAGCATACTGGGATTATATTTTGTCAGTTAATACTGTAGATGGATCTGTAGCCCCAGGGTTTCCCATCATAAGTACGTATTTCAGGAGATTAAAGTGAAGCCAGTGTGCACTATTTGCTTTTAAAAATGCATTTTAATCATGCAATAAAAAATGTTACTATAATGAAACTTTCAGTTCTTAAACCAAAGCTTTTATCCTTTTTGTCAGCATGCTGCTAAAATAGATTTAAAATTGCAGTTCAGTGGCACTATTATTCTCATAGAATTTGTTTGAAGCGTGCATTGTACTGCAGAGTTTTTATTAAACTGTTTTTCTGACATTGCAATGCATATTGCATACTACACAGTTTTTCTGCTGTAAATATTTGTTTTAATTTGATGCTGGTTTTGTTTTGGTTCACGTTGTTTTCATCTATAGATACTGAAACATACTGGGATGGACTTCCCAAAATGTGGAGCTGGAGGTGAAGCAAAAAGGAAGTTGGTTGTAGAGCACTACGGTACTGCCAGATTATTTCTTCATTAGTGATATTAAGCAAATGCACTGTTGTGTGATGTAGCAGTTCACCTGAAGTGTATTTTTGATAATGTGTCTCCAGTTTCACCCCTCTCTACAGCCTGTTAAGATGGAAAGCCTGGCTGTTGTTCAGTGGTGGGTTGCTTCTAAGGAGGAGGACTGGAATTGGGATGGTTTCAGCACGATTTATTCTGAGGCCTGTTTTGTCTTTTTTATAAAGGCTTTATTGAAGTTTACTAAATAAAAATAAGACTTTTCCCTAACTCATGATTTACGTTCAATTAAGTAGAAGGAAGGTAACCAAAGAGGAGCTTAACCTGCTACTGTTCATGAAGAATCCAGCTAGGTCATCAGATTCTCTAAAATGAATTCGGGGACAATTATTAAAATGTCTGTATGTCTATTTTCTAGTGACATTAGAAAACTAATAATTGTTTAGCCAGTCTAGTTTTGGATTGTGTCTTCAGGTCTTCCTAAAATTGTATCTAGTTCTTCCATGCGTTGGTATGAGGGCTTTCTTTTCTGTGTATCTTAGTCCTTAATAGCATTCATGTGACAGTTTTATTTTAATGCTTTCCTGTGTGCTTTTCAGGAAGGAGGGAGTTCATAGCCTTTTCCCCTGTGGTTTAGAGATATTAATGTTGCTAGCCACGACATTTGGACTTTGTGCTGCAGTTGTAGTTTTGCTGTGCATCAGCTGAAGCTTTCTGCCTCTGATTGCTTTGCTCATGGCAAGCATGAAGTTAGATGTCACAAGCCTGAATGTTAGATGAACAGCTGTCTAGCTGTTTAAGGGGTTGATGGGTCTGATTTTTTTTATCTTATTTTTTTGGCCAGCTTTGCACGCTAGAGTTGCTAAAGGAATAACAGATGGTGATAGCTATTTCAGTAACAAATACCAGAATATCATTTCCATTTCAAGTTTAATAGAATTTTGGAGACACTAAATGTTCAGGAAGGGACTTCTACTGAAGTCACCTTTTTAGAAATGTCTTTACCATTGAATAACCAGATCACAATACCAAGGAGTTCAAGATGGAAATGTGAAAACTTTGATCAGACACTTTTGAACAAGGTATCACTGACTCTGCTTAAGGTGAGTTTGATGCCTGTGCCTTTACACTGTTTGTGTACATTAGTGAATCATATGATTCTAGGATTAGTGAGATTTTTTTAGATTCCATAGTAGAATTCTGCTGCTCCTTACCTGATTTCACTTTTGGTCTCTTTCTTAGTTCACCTTTAAACTTACTTGTATCTTAGTTTAAAGCTCATTAATAGGTTTGCATGATCACATTTATGAGAGTAATTATTAGTAAGTTTGCTTTCCTTGAGTTAATGTACAGGTAAATGCTGTAACAACCTATTAACGCGCAGTTTTATTTTTCAAAAGTTTTAAAATGAGGAGTAGACTTCAAGTTTTATATCTATTGGAAGGTACATATATACACAGGTTCATTTTAAAGGGTTGAGATTATACTCATGTACCATTGTAACAACAAAAGCATTGAACAAGATATTTTGGATGACTGGAATCTTTTTATTCACATATGTCATAAGCAGCTAGCAAGGTGCCTGATAGGTGGCACGTATATGGTAATGTAGCCTGCTAAGATGTCTGGTTTGGGTGGTAAGCTTGCACAGAGGGTTTCTTGTCAAAAGCAGCAGAAAATAGGACTCCTTGTGAGCAGTCTGTTGCCTGTCCAAGAGTGTCCGGAGCCTTCCCAGCTTGTTCTGCAGCTCCTTGACTCTTACTCATCACTGTGATTAAAGGTGAGGTGGGCTCTGAGCATTAGCTTCCAGTTCTTAGAAACAATTCAGGGTTAGGAGGAGGATTTGCCAGCCCAGAGCTAGGCATGAAGTAGCATGTGAGGTGGTGTTTTTTCTGTATGGAAGTTTTCTGTTAGTGATTCTGGTGTCTTGGACAGTAAATGAAATAGTCAGTGTGATCAGTCTGAAACACGTGTTTAAGCTCCTGTTTTCTGGGATGTGAAAAGGAAGAGCAAAGGAGAGATGAGATTTTAGCAAGGAACTGACAAATAATATACAGAGAAAACTGAGAACGCTGTTCCAAATGGCAGGATATAGCTTGTCATTTTCAAGTCACTGATTCTGCATTTAAAGCTTTTCTTTTGTTAGCTGCAGTAAGAATTGTGCTATAAAAGTGCAGTGTAGATGTGGTCCTATCCAGGACAGTTATGCTGTCTGTTCAGGTGGGCTGTTAGTGTTATTGTTCCTTTGTTGGTTGGTTTGCTTTTTTAACCTTTATTTTAATCTTGGTTATTTACGAATTTCATGAGATTGGTACCTGGAGCCTCAGCTGTGATCACTTTGTATTTATACTATAAAAGACACAGCACTGGCTCTTGCTTTAAGCAGCCTGCCATTGTATTTACATCTAACAAATTTCTTTATTTTTACAAACTTTGAAATGAAGCCAAGTTTTTAAGGGACAGCATTTTACTAAAACTTCAAGAGAAAAAAAAGGAGTAGAGGGAATAGCGAGGTCTCAGCTGTGCTGGAAATGTATCTGTTGAAAAAGGCTGTAGCCTTTCTGCTTTCTGCTGTAACAAACACAACTTGATTCAGCATGGTCAGCTCTTCAGAGCAAAGCAGTGGCTGTGGGTCCTTTGCCTGCGTTTCCAAATGCACGCCTGTGGTGCCTGCCATCCCTCTGCTGGGAGGAGCTGATACCACAGGCTAAACTGCTGAAGAAGCCCCCTGGCATCACAGTGGGTGAGTGTGAACATGGAGATACGTCTGACTTTGCCCAGGTGAGTGTTTATGAGTCCAGAGAGAGAAATCCTGTCTCCTGGCAGCTCGTTTATCAGCACCCAGTGTGGTGTGGCCTCTGCTCATGTCTGCTGCTGGCCTTGGGAGGGTTTCTCTTGAGTCGCCTTCAGCTGCGCTGAATGTAAGCTCCTTACATAACTCGCTAGATCCTATGTGTCTGTGCCTTGCTGAGGCTGCCTGCTCCCCGTCTGCCCCAGGAGGAAGCTCAGGAAACTCCTTTTTGTTTGATCTCTTGTGCACCTTGAAAGCCTGTCTGCTGTGTGCACTGCCTGGCGCAGCGTTTCCTAAGGCTGAGCCTTGAGGTGCTGTGTCCCACTGACAGGAGGAGCTGTGGCCGTGCCGGCCTTCCCCTTCCTGCTCTGGTTATGGCTCCGTTTTTGTCCTGTTTTCTGCTTGAATTCTGATTTGCTGTGTGTGAGCTCTGTTTTCTGTGTCTAGCTGCTGATAGATCCCTGCTGGATCCTCTTTATTAGCTCGTTAAAAAGGAGAATTAAGGACTACTTGGGAGAGAAGTTCCCTTTTGTAAGTGCAGTAGGTCAGACTGCCTTCCTCCTCTGGCCGCTGGGGTTTTACTTTCCTCAGAAATAATGAATCTGGGGGCACAGCACCTGGGGCAGGAGGCAGACTGCAAAGCTTATTGTGCTCAAGTAGGGCCCTACTTCTGCTTTTTGTTTTGGTGCTGCTGTAGATAACTGTCATTGGCCTCGGTGCAGAAAGAAATTGAAACTGGCAGAAAAAAAAATTCTCTTAAAAGCTAATGAGCCCAAGACAGTGCCTGGATTTAATGAGGCCTGCTCCTGAGATGCTGAAGTAATTCAGTCGCCCTCCTGGAAGTTAATTACCTACAGTGTGCAATGCCTGAAACCTTGCCATGTTGCTTCGTTACGGAAGTTACAATGAACTTATTAAATCCCGTGGTGCGTCATCAGTCCTTGGGTGTCAGCTGGAGTGAAGGGCTCAGCACCTCAGAGGGCTGGGAGCAATCAAAGAGCTCATTATGGAAAGGAGTTATAATTCTGCTGTGCCCTTGCACCATAGGACTTGAAACATATCACAGACTCTGAGCCTCACACAATGCAGTACTTGTTAGCTGTTCGCATTGGGCACTCATTTATGCTGGGCCTACTCATGCTTATACTGTGCTCGGTACCCCTCACATGCTTTTACCAGGTCAGCTCTCCACAGCATGCTGTACCCTGTACCGTGCTGCCTGGCGCTGCCATGTGCGGATGGTGTTCCGGGGCACTCTGTGAGTGCAGGCTGATTTTGCACACAGGGCTGAGCTGCTATTTTCCTAATCTCTTACAGCAATCTTTCTTGGCATGCTGGGTAGGTCACAATGAATAATGTGCTTTTCCGCTTGGCAGCCAGACTGGAAAGCTGGGGGAAGGGGAAGCGGAGAGAAAGGCAGGAGCTGCTCACATTCAGGGCTAGTTCAGACTCCACTCTTTGAAGGAGAGATGCCAGTGCCCTTCTATGGTCTCTGTGGAGCCACCTGGAAACCAGTTTGGCTCCCACCAGCTGTGCTGGGAGCTGGAGTGGGACTTGCTGTCTGCAGCATTCCTGAGATGCCCTCATCCCAGCTCACAGCCCTGTGGCTGCCCTGTGAGCGTTCATATTACAGGCACTGCCGTTTCCCCCCTGCACTGCTGCTGCCCTGCAGAACAGCCAGGCTGATGTGATGTGAGCAGGGAAATGGGGGTGAAAGAGCAGTGCAAGTGATCGATGGGACTGCATGGGCACACAGTGTGATCCAGTGCTGGGAAATGCCTGGGGAAGCAAGCAGCTTGTCCTGCAACAGACTGAGATTCCACCAGGTGAGCACACATAGCTGGTGTTGTCCATCCCATCAGTCCTGCTCTCCGTAGTTACCTGCCCTGTCATCTCGCCGTGTCCCCACAAGGTACCCGCAGGGCTGGTGCCACCTGGCCACACAAGTATCCCTGCCTGCCCCGCCATGGACAGTGATCACCTTGCTGCCCACTCCCAGCTCAGTCCTGATGAGCTCTGAGATTTGGTTTTCCTTGCACAGGCAGAATTCCCATTTTTCTCACCCGCAGGAAGGCAGACGACTGCCTGCCTCTTTGTTTTCTTCCCTGTAGCAAAGAGTTGATGAATCACTTCCTTTTTCTATATTTCAGTAATACTCTGTGTTGTTCAGTGCTCACATACAGCATTTTAATGTTTTGAACACTCATAGCCTTCACTCTTCCTGTGATTGTCCAGGGGTTGGATATTTTTGTCTCTGTCCCAACAGTTACAACTTGTTGGAAATGCTGCAGGTAGCTTTGTCTATGTCAGTACAAGCTGAACTTTTAAGTTCTTACTGTACTTTGGTCTCATGACTGTATTTCTATTACTGAGTGCCATCTTTAAATAAAAAAAATCTGAAGCACAGATCCTTGTACCATTAGACCCTGGAGATTTTCTTCAGGTACATACAAAGCTAGGGCTGTATTTAATTTCAAAAAAAAAATAGCCCAAGTTCAGCATTCTGAATAGCAGACCCTTCCAGACGCTGGGATTTCTGCACAGCAAGTTGCTGCCCCGCGAGGTGCACAGCCCTGAGCCTGGGATTCTCCTGCAGCGCCTGGGGCCAATTCATATGGGCCCTCATTGTTATCTCTCCTGTTCACATGGGTTTTTTTCCCTTTGTTAGTCCACTTTCCTTCCTTGTTTTTAAAGAATAGCTTATCTATGTGCCTCAGAAGGGTGTGGCTCGGGGAGATCACAGCAAGCTGAAGTGCAGCAACTGGCTGCAGGAACACACGCTGAGGTTTTCACACACTGCAAGCACCCGGAGATGCGTGCCGGTGGGAGAGGACTGCATTCCTGCTTCAGCGCTCCACCACCCCGCTCCAGGTGGGACAGAGCCACTGCAGCACAGCAGTGCTTCAACACATCGGCAGTGTGCACCCAGTGACCAGATCTGGGTCATACTGCTGGCTCAGATGTCCATCTGCATCTGAGCTCTGATGTGACGTGAGCAAACTGGGGCTGGTCCCGTCACACCATGGCACACTTTCCTGCCTTGTGCACGTGTGTGCAATCCTGTCACCTCACTGCGTTGTTGCAAAGCTTCTGAGTGAGCGAGTTCTTTCTCTGCCTCAGAGTGCAGTGCCTGCGTTGCTGCCACTCCGAACACTGCAGGAGGAAACTCCTATTTTTGGTTTGGTTTTGTTTGTTGAGGAGAAGCTTTATGATGGGTGACAGAGCAGAGCCTCTGATGAGTGTGCATCTTCTCGCCAACTCAGGATGCTCGGCGTTTCTGCAGCAAGCTCTGGATCGGCTCATGGAGTGGATCTGCCCAGATGTTCGACTTTTCTTTGTGTCCGAGCGAGCTGCTCCACTGAAATACTATGAGAGGTACCAAAGGAGAAACTGCAGCTTTCCTGGGATATCTGTCTTCCTTTTTCTGCATGAGGACCTGGGAGAAGAGCGGATTCTCCAGGTCCAGGATCTCCTCCAGCAGCCACCCTGGCACTACCAGTGTGTCCCGACCTGGGCACAACATCTTCCCCACACACCAGCTCCTCAGGACTTCTATGGCCTAGACGACCAGATGCCTGTGTGGGGCATTCGGCGGGTGGGCTGCAGCCCCGAAATCCTGCGTGTGACCCTCTACTGCAGCTTTGATAACTATGATGATGCAGTAGGGCTGTATGAGATGATCCTACGGAAAGAAGCAACCATCCGGAAAAGCAATTTCTGTGTCTTCGTGCTGTATGCCACTAAAACCGTCGCTGTCCAGCTCTGCCTGAAGCAGCTGCCCATTGGGATGGCTGCTGAGCCCAAGGAGTCATCACTTTTGCAGTTCAAGGTGCAAGAAATGGGGCAGCTGGTGCCTCTCCTGCCCAATCCATGTATTCCTATCAGCAGGACCAGGTGGCAAACACAAGACTATGAAGGAAATAAAATTCTGCTTCAGGTATGTGTGTGCATGGTGCTTGCAGACGAGATGCCTTTTTCTTTTTTTTTATTCCAGCAAAGAGCAGGACTGATTCAAAATGGAAATTAAGGTTTTGCTTGTCCATATTTTGTTTTTAATTCATGAACTCAGCAATCACCTTCCAGTGCTATGATGTCATTGATAAATGTGAGCACAGATCCTTAGAATGCTTGCATATTGTTAGTGCCTGAAGTAGAAAGTATAGTACTTTTTTTGACCCACTGAGTTCACCTTTTCCCTTTCCTGCCTAAATCAGATGATAGCAGCAGCCTGTTCTCTTTCTGATGTGACCTTATAAATGCTTCTGAAAGCCAAGTTTTAGCACTGTACCATCCCAAACCAGGTGTTTTGCAAGTACAGCGCTGATGCAACATCACCCACAGTAGTTTTGTAATTGCAGTTGGGCAAAAGGGCTAAATAAATGCCATGGGAAAGTCAACCCCTTTCTGCTGTGGTGCACAGCTCTGAGTGTGTGAGCACAAATCAGATCAGACAAAGATGGTGCTCACTGTGATTATACACGGGAGCAGAGGGAAGTTCAGCTGTGTGCTCTTTGCTTTGGTACAACTCCTCCCATCTCTGGCCTCTTGGGTTGCTATTTGGATATATTTATTATTATTTGGGTATTTAAATTATTTAAATATATGTCCTGTTTTCTTTATTTTCCTTTCTTGGCGAGATCACTATTACAAATCAGCCTGCCTATTCTATTTAGCCTACTTTTGTGCTGCTCTGCCTGCACACCTCTCTCCAGGACAGCCTCAGCATGTGCCTCCCACCAGTTCAGTGTCACCCATGGACCTGTTCAGGGATGGGTCAGAGTCCTGAGTGGTTGCAGTGGCTCTGGAGCTCCAGGTGGGGCCTGCACTCCAAGTGCCTCCCATCGCAGGGGGCTCAAGAGTGCTGTTGCCTGAGTAAAGCTAGCACCGTGCTTTAAGGGAGTTCTCTCCACCTTTCCTCAACAGGTGCAGGACAGCTCCAAGCAGAACGAAACAAACACTGGGCTTCCCAACCGGCGCAGTGCTGTCGGCGTTGAAGGACTGCCGCGCAGCCCCATCGCAGCTCCTCTCCCTGTCGCTCTGCGCAGCACGGAGCAGGGAGGCCAGCAGCCCTGGACCTCGAGGGGCAGAGTGACATCCGTGCCAGGCCAGGCCCTCTTCGGCTCTTCCTGGGGTGCGGCGGTGCCCTCCCGCCACGTGCTCACAAGCAGCAGGCAGCAGGAGGGCTGGCCGTGCCGGCCGGCAGCAGAAACCGACGTGGACACGGGGCTGGCTGTGGGCAGAACTGCGGGCTGCCGCTGCTCGCTGCAGCACGGCCTTCTGCAGCCATGGCTGCCGGGCGCGGCCTGCACCGCCCCGCACTGTGCACGGCCGCCACCTTCTGTGGCCAACAGGAGGAAAGGAGCGGGGCACAGGGCTCCGGGGTCCCATGTGCAAACATGGAGAGCCAGCCCTGGAACCAGGCCCGAGGAGGAAGAGGAGGAGTTCTTCATATGACTGGAAACAAGTGCAAGTCGAGTTGTATCGACATGATTTTGTCTGGCCGGGCTGTGCTAGGCTGTGTGCAGGGCCATGGAAACCTCAACTGGGTCTGAAACAACAGAAGAAGAAAGGCTGCGGGCTCAGAGGGACTGCTGAAGAGCAAGCAGGGCAGGAGAAATGGAGCCATGCAGGAGCAAAGATGTTGAAATGATATGTGCTGCTGCTTGCGCGGTGCAGGCAGTGTGATTGCTTTCTGCTTATTTCACTGGACGCTTAACAAAAAGCACACAAACTTACACCCACGTTTTCCTGTGATCTATAAAGGTAGTGCCAGAGAGAGGTTTGGTGAGCTGGGAGGGCAGTGTAGCAGAGCAGAGTGGCTGTGCTGCAGTGGGAGGGAGGAGAACAGGTGTGAAAGCCTGGGGGCACCAGTCTGGCTGCGGGTGTGGAGGGGCAGTGATGAACTGATAGTGGCTTTAAACGGGCCTTTCACTATGACCAACATGTGAAGGGATGGGAGCCCTGCTCTGGGTGTGGGCATGAAGGCACAGGGCTCTGTGGGGCCAGCACTGCAGCACTGGCAGGCACCAGAAAATGCCATCCCTGGATCATGCTGCTGCAGTCACTGCTGTGCCAGGGCCCTGGCCTCCTGCTGAGGGAGCAGCTGGTGAGCTTGGCTCCTTTGGGAAAGCAGTCCTGAGTGCACTCCTCTGTCCTGAGTTTTGTGCCAAATCGCCAGTTGGTGTCTCTACAGCCTCGGGAACCGCGGAGACGTGGCACTGAGGGACAGGGAGGGCATGGTGGGAAAAACGGGCATCGCCTGCCCGTCCCGTGGCGGCGACCCGGGCACGGCCGGACCCTCGGAGCGGCTGGCGGCTCGGGAGCCCCTCGCCGAAGCCCGCGGCCAAGCAGCAGCAACAGCAGCAGCCGCAGCAGCGCGGCGGTGCGGGGCGGCAGCTCCTCCTGGTGCCCACCCGCGGCCCTGCAGCGCTCCCGGCCCGACCCCTTCCGCCGCAGCGGGGGCTGCCGTCCTCGTCTCCGTGCCCGCTGGAGCCGCCCGCTACACGGCAATAAAAGAGGTGATAATGGCAAACGGAGCCGATCTGTTCCTCATTCGTTCGTTCACCCAGATGACAAGCTATCTCGGCGATTGAGATCTGTCATGTCAGTGACGGGGAAAACAGAGACCTTCCCGAACGCGTCTCACCGGTTAGATGGCAGCCTCGGGTGCTGATGTGCTGCAGCTTCGTATGCATCTGGTAGTGCTGAGCGTACAGAAAGTTTAAGACAAGGCTCTAACGTGATGGTTAGAGACTTTTTTTTAAAAAAGCGCCTAGCTAGACCGACTTTTCTGTTGGTGCAGAAAAAAAAGTAAATCATTAGTTTTAACTGGGAGTAATTTAGTTCCAAAAGTGAAAACTGTAACTTCTCCCTTTTTGTCCGTAGCCAAGGAGCAGCAGGTCACCCTCAGGCTGTCGGGGACTGATTCCATCCATGCTGGTGGGGATGAGGCCGTGCAGTGTGAGGGAGTGCTGTTCTCTAATGGTGAAGAACAGAAGCTCCTGCTGGAAGCCGAGCAAGGCAAAGGAGCAGCCTGGTGAGGGGAAGCAGGTGCTGGCAGGGCCCTATGGCACACTCCGGATGGGACACACATCCTTTCCCTGTGCTTTGAGAGCCAGAGTTTGGCCCTTCCTGGTAGATTTGCCATCTGTTTGCACTTCAGGCCCGTCCCAGCTCTCTGTCCCTCCCTGCAGCCAAGGGGCACAAGGTACCTGGGCACAGGGGTGGCACAGGAGCGTGTATGCCTTGTCTGGTACTGAGCTCCCCAGCCTTAATGTGCTCCTGAAGAGGAGGGGTATGCAGGAAGGACTCAGAAGGAGTATGACACGCTTTCATTCTGCAGTCTCAGTATTTTTTAGAGAGGTTTATCCTCACTCTGACTGTCAGTGCTTTGCAGCTCTCATCAGCCACATATGTGGCAGGCTCCCTGCAGTGCCACCAGGTTCCCCAGGCATTGCACAGGAGCTTTGCTTTTGGTCAGTTAAGCTTTATGCCCTGTGTCTTTAGTGCCTCTTTTAAATGAAGTGTAAGAGGTCTTTACTTTCCCCCACATACAACTATTCCAACAGAATAACAAAACACTCATGTAGCAAAGCTATTTTTTTCCACTGCTGTGAAGTCGGTTTCATTATGTGTGCAGAATGCACCTGATCAGCCCAGGACTGAGAGCTCAGTTGCAGTGTGTGTTGGAGGAGAGGCAGGGCTCACAGCTAGTTTGGGTGCTGAGCAGGAAGGGTTGGTGCGCTGGGCAGCATGGGGCTGGGCAGCCAGCAGGAGGCAGTGGCACCTTCAGTGACCTTCACCTCCTCCTCCAACACACTGCTTCCTCCACCAAACCTGCATTGCAGTTTGCTGTGCTGCTCTTTTTGATATTTAATTCTGATAATTTGAAGGGGGCTTTGAGAGGGCTCCATCTCCCACAGAGCACTGGCATTAATATTCTGGTGCAGCATCTCAGTTCTGCTGATTGCAGGCAAGGGCAGATCCGATTTCTATTAGTGTGAATTAATATTCCTGAAGAGTCCCCAAATCTTTCTTCTCCCCTGCCGCCCTCCCCAGGCGCTGGCAGCCCGGCTGTGCTGGGAGGTGATTAGATTTGTAAATGTGTTCCTGCAGGCACTTGGTGACACTGGGAGTTGTCTCATCTTGCTTGTGCAGCTGAAATGGTGACAGCCCCACTTCCCTAATTGGAATCGTCTCGAATCTCATCTTGGCATCAGAGTGTTGTGCTGAGCAGGCAGGAGCAGGTTGGCTCAGCTGTTGCAGTTGGTACCAGGCAGATGCTTGTCTCCCAGACCTGGAGGTGGGCCCAGATGGGTCCCAACAAGTGATGGGGGCAGGAATGAGCCCTGCTCAGCAGCATTCTCTGTCCCAGGGCAGAGGGGGCAACCCAGAGGGGCAGTTCGGAGGGCTGGGGGGCCCGATGCAGCCACAGAGTCCCCAGGCTCCTCCACGCTTATTGTTGCTAAAAACTGGAGTGGAGAGAATGTATATCAGAGTTAAAGCAGCCAGGCCATGATAACTATTATCCTTGCTTTCTCCTCGCACTTGTCTCCTGCCTGCCACAGCTACGCTATGCAGAACATGGGCTACGTGCCTCCTGGCCATGACTAGAGGGGGTCTGAGCCATCTTGTTCCCTTGTTACTCTTTGGATGCATGCTTGGAGTGGAAGGGTGGTTTTTGTTTTTGCTTTTGATTTACCAGAATTGGCTTAAAACGCCCCCGGGATTCTCAGTTCAAACAAACAAAGGAGATTACGCTCAAGGAACCTCCCGGGATGATACAGCAATGTGATACCAGTGGGCACAGAGGGAGCGTGTTTTAGCCAACCCAGAAGCTGGAAGCTTTGTTTTCAGCCTGGCAGAAACAAGCGGATTTTGGTTGCGTTCCTCTTCCTCCCACATTTGTTGGTCATGCTAGGTTGACACATCTTCAAAGAGTGACCACATGTATTAGTAATGGCACAAAGAGCTGCTTCCTTCAGACCGGACTATGGGGAAAACCCATAATGGTCTCTGGGATGGGTGAGGGAGGAAGTAAATGAGCATTAGGAAACCGTGTGTTGTGGGTTGAACATGGAATTTCTCTGTACCTTCTTTCCCAGGGCTTCCCGATACACTGGGTACACTGTACTTTCCCAGAGGAAGATGGCAGGTGGGAGGCAGCCAGTAACTTTCTGGGACCACCAGAAATGTTGCAGTGGGTTAGATGCAGAGAGCCAGTGCCTGGGCACTGCTGAAGGGACTCTGGTCAGCAGCTGGTGTCACCCACAGGCCTGTGGTGTCATGCAGAGAGGGCGCTGAGCACCCTCCTAGCCTGTATCAGCTCCCCAAAGCCCCTGCTTGGTTTTAACCAGGCTGAGGGTTTTTCTGGGATGGGATGAGGGTAGAAATTAGTTGACAATTTTGCTGTGGTTTTTCATCTTGATTTAATTCAGAACTACCGGGTTTTGTGGAGGGAATAGCTGATTGCAGGAATGCATCGTACTGATGCTTACCAGATACTTTTTTAGATGGGAAAATCTTTCTGTGTCACGAGAAAGTTTGCAAATGTTAGTTTTCTTGTAAGTCAGAGTGAAACCAGATTTCGAGAGGTTTCAGCTTCTCCCAAACATTGGGTTTTGGACACCTTCAGCCCTCTGGCAGCTGGCTGGGGCTGCTGAGTGACCTCCCACCATGGCACACGGCACAAGGTGTTGAAAAACCTGAGGCAAGATGTGGTACCAAGCCAGGTGTTTCATAGTGAGGAAGAGCAAAACTGTTTTTTCTTGTAGCCTTATTTAGTTTTTATATTATGTCTTAGTGGGGACTTTTCTTTCCATTTCATTTTTCGAGTCTGGTAACAGCCCCTGTTGTGTTTTTGCAAGATTTATGTGATGACAGCATGAGTGCCTTCCCAGCAGAATCACAGAATGGCCAGGGTTGGAAGGGACCTCAAGGATCATGAATCTCCAACCCCCCTGCCACATGCAGAGCCACCAACCTCCTCATTTAATGCTAGACCTGGCTGCCTGTGCCAGGGTGCTGGCTTACCCCCATCCAGCAGCACCCAGGGCTTGCTCTCCCATGCTCTGCTTAGCACATCCTACCTTGCACTATGCTTGCAAAGGTGTGAATGGAGAAGGACTGGTAAAACACTTTTTTCCATCTTGCAGATTGCACTTGCAACTGCTTATCTGGCTGCTTGATCCATGAGAATGTGTCTCAGAGCATCTGGAAGCACGTGGATAGCTTCCATCCCCTCCCAGGGACTTGCGGGTCCTGGCTGCATGCAGGAGAAGGACGGGAGATTTGGAGCCGTGGCTGCGCCGCGTGGCAGCATGCCTGTGAGGTTTGCTGTGCTTGGATAGAGCAGAACTGTGCAAAAACAGAACAAGATGGGATTTTTCCAGGTTTACTTTGAGCTTTAACTTGTTCCAAGTGTAACACTGAGATCTTACCACTTCTTTTGTTTTCCACGCTCTGCTGCACTCTGTGGCAGCAGCAGTCACAAGTGTCAGACCATCATCAAAGCCTGGTTTTGAGTTGTGTGTGAAGGAAACTATCCTGACAATGAAAATGCTCACAGGGTATTGCCATGCTAAGGCTGTGTGCAGGTTTGGCACCACTTCTGCCCTTGCAGTGATGTTGGAGCTCAATGGGTGAAGGTGGGGGAAGGGCCATTCATGGCAGCTGTGGTGCATGGGGCCAGTGGGATTCGTGTCTGTATTTCTCTGTTGCTTTTCTGGGTGGAACTTGTGTGAGTAAACCTATTGTGGTTTTAAGTTAACGTGCAGTTAGAGAAGGAAGTTTATTTGAGTGTTTGCCCTGTGTGTTTCTCCTTTGTCTTTTGTCTTGCTTGACTGATACACAGCAATGCACTCTGGCAACCTCAGCCTACCCGTCTGCTCTCATTAGCACTCCAGCATGTGTTTTTACTTTACGGAGGGCTGCACGGTGTTGTGGACGGTAATGGGAAAGGAGGTGGTGTGGGTATGTGGCAGCCATTCTAACATTGACAACATCTTCGCATTTTTAAAAAGCCAGAGTTGTCACACGTTTTGTTCTGAAAGCCATTTGTCTGTAATCTTCAACTATAGTAATAATCATAATCATCATCCTGCTAGTGCAGAGGATGTGTGGGAGAAACAGGCCTTGAAAATTTCCTCCGAGCCTGTGCCAAGCCTGAAGCAATCTTTTTTTCATGACGGAAGGCCGTTCTCAGGGCGGTGGGTAGCAGCCCAGCTGCGACGTGTCAGCGCCGAGCGCTGCGTCCCGTGCTGGAGCAGCATGGCTTCTCTGCATCCTTTCGTCAAGCGTGTAGGAGGCGGCGTGGTCGTTTCTCCAGAAATGGGGAAATGGAGCCCTGGCTGCCCTGCGATGTCCTCTGAGTCAGCAGAGTGGCCCTGCGCCCTCGCAGCCCGCTGCATGGAGCAGCAGTGCCGCATGGCAGCCCCTGGGACGCAGTGCAGCCACACAAAATGGATGGGCCTGTCAGAGCTGTGCTGCGTGCTTATGGCTGGGGAGGTGCTCTGGGCACAGGGCTTGTCACTGCTGCGGAAAACTGCCCTGCAGGGAGTCGTTTCTTGTGCTTCTTCTTAGCCTGATAGCCTGTAGTAGGATTGAGTTTTGGAAGCTGGATGAAAATCAGTTCTTTTGAGTTTAAAAATTCAGCCAGGTGTGGTTGGTCAAGTCATTTTCCTGTCTCCTTGTGCTTCGTAGACATTTCAGCAGCGGACGTCATCACAAGCATAAGGAACAAAGTGATCTCAAACTCTCCACCAAGCAGGGAAATAGTATTATTCTTGTTTTATTCAGAGGGAGATGGAAATAAAGGGGTTTGATACAGCTTGTCCAACATCACATGGAGAATCTCTTTTATAAAAAGCAGATCTCTCATCTCTTAATCTGAGGCATTAGCTGCAACAACATCCTTCTTCCTTAACATCCCTTCATACGTGCAGTAACTTTGCACTAACGGTTTGTTTTTATTGGGCATGGCCTTGAGAAGTGATTTCTTTGAGCTGTGGCCAACTCACTCACTGGCTTTTGTTCAGCAGTAATGAGATGGCTTAACATAAATTCAGGAGCATGCCAGGGCTTTGCACCTGAACAGGCATCCAGAGTCTGAACTCTACATCCAACACTTAGAAAAACATCCCTTGATATTGTTTGGAGAGAATCAATTAGGAAGAGGATGAATGCAGATGTGTGACGCGTGCCAGCTGCAGTGATCTTAGGTACTTGGGCCCGATTCTTTTTTGTGTTACGCTGTATTGTGGCTCCCTGGTTCAGTCTGCATCTTTTCTGTCGGAGAGGAGGAGATGTGGCCTCATGTCAGTGATGTTGGGCCCCAGCATGACTCCAGAAAGGCTGGCTGGTGGTGGGCAGAAGGAAGTGAGGTTTTGGTGGTGGTAAAAGGGCAGTGCTGGGTGCTGGGTCCTACAGCAGCATGGGGCAATGAGAGTGCCAGGGCCTTCCCTGCCACCCTGCAGCTGTGTTGCTGTGACTGAACTTGTTTGCTGTTTGCAATAGCTTTCTCTTTCGGTCACAGATCAGGCAGTTTTGGCTTGGTTTTAATTACCATCTGACCTCCTTGCTGCTAGTTCTCTTCTGCACTTGCTGTGTTGCAGTCATTTTGCTCTGGGCTGTATTCTGGGAAAAACTAGGACAAGCTCCTTGGTGCCTTTGGTAGATGTTATGCCTGGAAGGTGGCCCAGTGCTGTAAGAAATGCTCCTGACTGAGTAAGAGAAGCCAAGAAATAAAAAGTTAGGATAGCATTCCAGTTAAAACATGGGAGTACCTCTTGCCATTTCAGAGTGGCTTAGCCTATGTCATCACAGAGCTGAAGGAAAGGAGGACCCAGGTGCTGCAGCTCCCAGAAGACTACTGATCATATAAACAGCAACTGAAGAGTTTCCAGTGATAGTCTAGAACAACACCTTCTGTCTGTGTAGTGCTGGGGAGGACAGCCCCACAAGGCAGGCCCCAGCGTTCGCTCCTGTTGCTGTGGGTGCTGCTGTCAAGAGGTGGTTCTTCTGCTGTGGGTTTGTCAAGTTCCTCACTTAACAGGGCTCTGGCCTGATGGTACTATTGCTGTGTAAAGGGTGAATATTGAAGTGTTATCATTTAGTCCTGAACAGGCACAAACTCGCTATTTTTTTATCCCTGCTGAATTTGCCATTCCTACGGAGTTATTCTTAGAATGTTGTTGAATAAAAGCCTAGCTTGTCAGCGTGGCTTCTTTTTTATTGTATTTATGCATTGAATCTAACCTATGGATAGTGGTGAGCGTCATACTGATTTGTGGAAATGCTCTAGTTCTTTGTCTTGTGCATTTTTAAATGAAGCAGTCTCTGAAGTGTTTATCTGCAGGCACAAAAGCCCCTATAAATTGATGCATATTCCTAACTTTATAAGACTTGCATATTAATCTGCTTATTTTCCATCTCAACAAAGGGCCTCCGGAACCCACAAACGTAGTCATAATTCTCCTGATCTGGTTTGCTACAAGGTTTTGCTTGACTACACAGATGTTTTCCATGTATTTGGCAAAAGAGGGGTCAAAGCCTGCATCTGGCCCACTATTTCTGGCAAAAACCCTGATGTGTTTAATCCTTTTTGAACATGAATATTCTGAAAGCTCATTTGATTTATTAACCTGATTATTTTAATGTGGAGAAACAATGTGGAACAGTGACCTTTGTTCAGGAAAATGCTCGTCCAAGTGTTTCTGCTCTGAATCCGTCAGAGCTCAGTGCGGAGTGTGTGAAGGACTGGTTCACACAGCAGGGCTACTCAGGGTCACAGGTAAGCCTCTTTGCAAGGCTCTTTTGCTCTGCACTGTCTGTAGCTGGGGAGTCCAAGCCTGGGCAGTACTGCATGAGGCTCTTCATACAGGTAAGGGCTGAGCTCACCTGAAAATCACAGCAGGGCTTGTGCAGACTGGTCATCTGTAGTATTGCTGAATGAGCAAGATGAGTTGGTTTTCAGGGGATGTTACGCCATGCAGTTTCATTAAACACTCCTCTCCATCTCCCCAGAGAGCAGGAGATCACCTCTTCCTATGTGCTTTGGGAATGTGCAGTGACTAAGCATCAGTATTATCTCGTTCTCTGCTGGGTAGTCTGAGTGTCCCCAGTGTGTACTGAACTGGGTGCTGTACAGACGTGAGACAGATGGATGCCATCCTCGAGGGCTTTGCAATAGAAGCGTATTTCCTCAGTGAATGGCAGTGCTGCAGGATGAGTAATGCCCTTAACATTTTATACGGAGCTTCTCAGTCTGTGTGACAGGGCTGTAGTCTGGATCACTATTCCTCCCTTCCTATTACTCACAGATAAACTGACTAATTCACACATTTTTGGCCAGCGGTTTTCAAAGTTGGCTGCCTAAAAGAAAGCATCTTTAACGAGAGTGGCTGGGTTTCAGAAGCTGCTGAGGAGCCCTGATGCCAAGCAGAGCCCAATTTACAATCATTGAGCCAAGTTTTCTTTACATCTGCAAACCCTGGTAGCATTTTCACTCTAACTGGGATTGGAAAGGTACTGGGCTCAGCCAACCCCAAGAGCAGTGCAGCAGCCAGGAGCAGGCTGGGCATGCAGTGGATGCCCAGGGAGGTATCTGCGGGGGATGAGCACTGCTTTTGCAAGCTGGGTGTTGGAAAAGGAAACCATTGGAAACAATACCAAAGCCAATAAACAATCCTGTGTGCAACAAACTTTAAAATTCTCCATTTCGTAAGAAATAGCAATTGTTTGGGGCCAGTATCATAAATGCCCATCTCAGAGTGCTTTCCTCAGCTCTGACCACAGCCAGATGTTTAGTCAAATCCTGTTAACCTCAGTTTCACAAGTTCAGGCTTTTCCTGTGCTCGGGGCCAGAACCAAAGCTTGCTGGTGTGATGGAGGGCCTCCTTGGGACGCAGGGGATCTAGGTCAGGACTTGAGATGGTTTGTGTGAATATAGGAAAGCAGTTCTCAAACAACTCTCGCTGTGTCTTGAGTACTGTTCACTTTTGGGCTTTGAAAATTTGTCAGTGTAGACATCTGTGAAAATCAGCCTCTATGAGAGACACTGAATGAAACCCGGGGATGAGGAAGGACACACTTCTAAAGACTCGTGAAAAGCTGAGCTCACACAACTTGTGTTACGTGTTGGATGCATTGCATTCTCCTCTTCTGCAGAGAAATATCAGTGGGCAAAGAAGTCTCAAACTGTTCTTAATTCTGCATGTATGGCATGGATTGAACAGCAGTCATCCAGAAAGCAGAAACACTAGTGGCAGAACTCTTGTAGAGGGTAGAGATTTGCTGTTCCATTTCATTCTTCTATCCTGGTGTGACTTTGTGACCTCAGGAAATCCCTTTCTATCATGAAAGCTGTCTCCACAGTGAGCTCGGTGGGCCTGCAGGTAAGTTGAGGGGGGCAGCAGGTCTCATGGGCTTTCCTTCTAACTTCTGTCAGAGAAGTGTGAAGTCGATGAGATGCAGACATGGCAATAATGACTGTCTTTGTCTCCTACTGACCATCAGTTATCACACAGGTAGTTGCTTCCAAAAATTCTTTCTTCAGCAGCAGTGTTGGTTGGGTGTTGGATGTCTGTTCTGGCTGTAAGCAGCTCTGAAGGAGCCAGTTGGTAGTGAGACTGGGATTCATCTCAGTTATGGTCTGATCTTCTGAACAGCCAGGACTGAGAAACCCTCAGCTGTACTGGGACTGAAGAGAGCTACAACTGGCACAGATGTTGCATTTCATGCCTCAGTTGCCTCTTAGTCAGCATACAGCAGCACAGTAGGATTGGCTTGGGGCTCTGAGCCTGTCAGGGAAATTTTTCTTCTAATCCATAAATGTAGGGCATCTGTCAGATTTATTTGATTTTCATATATCCCATGGTGATAGTGTGGCTCCATGTCCCTTTGACAGTTGTCCAATGCTTAGGTACCTTCTTGGATGCTTCAGTGCAAAATCCAATGCATAAATTTATCCTGCAGTAACTCCTCTAGTTCACATTCTTATCTATAAAATCCTTAAATATTTCTGCTTCAAGCTACCCCCTTCTCCTGCCCACTCACATCTTTTACTTCCTGTTATAATAACACTCAGAAAAGTGAGTGGAGGCTTCTCTGTTGCTTCTGCAAGGTCTACATCTTGTTCATATATCTAGAGAATCCTTAAAACCTTAAATATCACACAGCTACATGATACAGCACCTTAGATTACTTCATTTTCTATTCGACTCTGATAGAGACAATCTTAGGGATAGGATGTATCTGCTTTTTTAACCCAGCTTGTGTTTCCCAGAATTGGTACCTTCATGATTACATCTCATTTCTGGTGCTGGAGGGCTGCATCCAGGAGCTCAAGCTGTGAAGTGGTAAACGAAGCCCTCAACTATCTCATGTGCTTCTTCGTATAGGTGAAAATGGACACAAAGAAGCTGGATGGTGTCTTAAGGTAAGCTAAGAAAAGACTTAGCATGTGTACAAATAGCTGTCTGTTAGAGAACCTTGGGGTGGAGATCTTCATGGTGGAGGATGAATCATAGTCTTGTGGACTACCCAGTGTTCTTGTCTAAGAAAACAAGCAATTTGTTGCCAGCCTGGACAAAGAGTGACTTTTTGAGCAGAACTTGTTCCAAGCCAGTGATGACAGCATGTCTCATCCCAGGATGTTATAAGAAATCCTTCATTTAATTAAACTCTCTTAATAGACTGCCTACTCATCTGCTAAGAACAGAAATGAGAGTAAAGCCTTGTACCTTTTTTCCTGGTATCTCATATAACACTACTGGCACTGATGGCTTGTACCAGTGCATCCTAACTCTAAAACATAGAAGCAATGGGCTGTTGTTCTCTGTAATGCTAACAGGATCTAAAAGGCAGGCTGTTGCATTCCTTGGTCTCTCTGTACCTCCCTAACCAGCCTCTTGGGCACACTGGGCTATACCAGTCAGTGGGAACTCAAGGTCCCTGGAGCAGTGGCATGGTGACTCTGCCACCCTGACATCACTCAGCTGTGTTCCAGGCAGGGAAAGCCAACTCTGGTAGCATGAGGGGCCACGTGTGCTCTCAGGTGGTGGTTTAAGCCAGACCGAAACACTCATATTGCACAGTACTGATGCTTACAGACAGCACAAGTGAAAGTAGAGTCCATGTACTGGGTTTGTTGGTGGATGAATGCTCCTCTGGGCTGGATAAAGCTGTCTTGTATGTCTGGCCTCTGAGCTGATCTCAGCATAAGGGAGTGGAGCCATCATATCTGTTTGATTTCTACAGCTTTCACGGAACTGCACTTAAACTTCTAAATTTACTTGTATGGAGAAAGAACCCCTTGTGCTCCTCATGCACCGACCATGGTAGGATGAGGCATTACTTTATACTCTTACTTCCATGCAAAGATTTTGTGTGGGTGGAGGGGAAGCTGGTCTGAGGAGTGCTTTCCCTCCTTGAGCCCGTGTGTTGGGTTGTGCGCACGTTCCATCATCCAGTACAGAGCAGTGTATGGGCTGGTGTCACACACAGCTCTCCACTTCTATCTGTGTATCTTCCCTAAGAAGAATTATCTCTGTCTTTGGCACCAGCTGTAAAAATGAGGAAATGTTGGTGTTTTGTTGTGTGTCAGGGCATGGAATCTGATCTTTGACCACTGTGCCATGAAGAGACAGCATATCCTTCCTCCCTTTACTGTTTCATATAGGCTGATTTGAACACTGCAGCAGATTATGACACTGTGGGTGTTCAGAGTTTCAGGATGATTGATCACCTCTCATAGAGATGCAGATGGTACTGTGATGAGTTCCAGATCCTTTCAATTGAGCATCTCCAGGGACAGCTTTATGGTCCAGGCGAAGGGGAGGGTACTCTAAATTTATTTTAAAACAACAACAATAACAATGCAGGACTTAAAATTAAACCCTCTTGGCTCATAAATAGTAACTTTAAAATTTAACTGCTTAAAATAAACAACCTGAAGGGCTCCAGTCACAAATCCCTGAAGTTTTTGGGAAGACCTAGAGAGGGCTGGCTTTGTGGTAAGGTCTCACCTGAAGGAGCCCAGGTGTTCTCCTGGCCCTAGATGGTGTGCACCAGCTCCTGGGCACTGTGATAGGTGCTGTGTTAATGGCCAGATTACCCCACTTACTGGATTTTCATCCTGGGAGCAAGACTTGGAGCTGCACAGTGCTGAACACTGCTGAACAGTGCTTTCTGAACCAGTTGGAGCATGCCAGTGGTTGTCCTAGACCTGTTATCTCAGTAACTACGTGGCTCATCACATCAGCCCTGTTATCATTGCTTTTCATCAGTGAGAAGCCACGAGTAAAGCTCAGCATCTAAGCTCTCTGTTAAGTTCTGTTGTCTGACAAGGGTGAGAACCACTCCAAGAAAATCATTTGCCACATTTTGGCACAGATTTCAATGCTTCCCAGTGAGCTGGCAGTGCTGGATCAACTTTCCCTTTACCTAAGGCAGGTTGTTGGCAAGTCCGAGCCATGCTGGAGCAGAAGCATGGGCTGGGGCTGCTGCACTCCTCACCTCCCCAAGCCCCCTTCTGCTGATGGGAAGGCTGGGGAGTTACAGCCCCTTGCGCATGGGCTTTCATTCCTAAATCTTAGCTGCACAGAGCTGGTTGGCTTTCCAGAGGCAGTTTCTGGGCTTTCTGGTGATGTCAGGCTGCTCTCTGAGCCAGCTGGCACAAGTGTCCCTGACAGCCCGTGCCGTGGTGGTTGTCCTCGCAAGCACTCCTGCCTTGCTGAGCACCGCGCCTCTCTGCCGCCCGGCCTGGCTTCTGCAGTTTGCTGAAGGTTACTGGAGGTTTAAAACTGCTTTGGCACTGTCTGCAGTTCCTTAAGGCAAAGATGCCTGTTTATTGTTACAGCACGGTGTAAGCACAACACAGAAGAGTCCCTGCAGACAAGAGTATTTCAGTGTAGCAGGCTTTTTTTTTGTTTGTTTTTTTAAAGAAGTGTTGGCTGGCCTCTAAAACTTAAATACCACTGGAAACTAATGCTAAGGGTTGGGTGGTTTTTCTTGTCCTCATAAATCATGTCATGGAGTTTTTGTAGCTCTGCTCTCATCCTGTGGTATCTTTCTAGTGCTGATAATGAGCGCTCAGCCCCTGTCCCCCCCTCCCCAGAGGGGTGAGTGCGGCCCCCAGCTGCTGGCAGCTCTCCTGCTGCCTGGGCCGGCCCCATCCCTCCCACAGCTCAAGCCGCTCTTGCCTCTGACAGCCCTGAAATGAGCTTTTCACTTATCTTTAGGGAAACTGGAGTAGCCAGTTTGGAGTGGAAACCCCTGCATCCCTCCGTGTGGAGCTAGGGATGGCTGGAAAGGGAGACTCTGTCTGCAGGGCTGCCTGGGGGCCTTGCAGTGCTCATGCAGTTGGGTATCCCAGGGCACAGCCAAGGGGTCTGTTTGGGACAGAGGCATCTGGGGGCTGAGCCCTCCCTGAGGGCCCTCTCCTGCTCATACATGAGCAGAGAAACCTTCCTGACCCTGCCAGTCCAGTGGACCTGTTGCCAGCCAGGGCTTTGGTTTGCATCTTCCACTGCTTTTCTGTACAAGAAGAGGAGAAGCAAGCTAAATATATCTAAATACATATGCCCATTCTCCAGCACCCAGCTCTGAAGTTTTCACTGCTCTTTATTTGGGCTGTGCAGAGGAGGAGGCGGCCGTGTGCCTTCGTTTCACATGTGCTGGCATGAGATGTTAGATTTCAGGACAGTGCAGCCCTCTTCTTGCTTGCACCCGTAATTCTGGATCCTTGTGATAACGTGGAACAAATGCTGAATTCCGCATCTCACAGTGCAGAAGAGGCAGAGGCCGTTGTGAGCCTCCCCGACCCGTTGGCCACAGGCTGCAGTAGCTGTGCGGTGCGGCACCATCTGGGCACTGTGCCCGAGGTCCTGCAGAGGGTTCCCAGCGGTCTGGCACACGGGAGCTGCAGTGACTGCTGGTGTCAGTGCTGACCTGCTCCTCGTGCATGCATAATTCAGCAGGAATAATGAGTTAGTTCCCCTGTCTGCTCTGAAGCAGCGGCTGATGAAGTGGTCCGTCATCTCTGCAGCTCGTAGTGCGTCCCGTTGTGAGCAGTGTTCTGCATCTCTTGGCTTTTACTGAGAGCACTGAAACTTCCGATCGGGTTTTTCTCTCTCTTCTCCTTGCATTTGATGTGGACTTCATGCTAATGCGCTGCAGCTCACTTGATGTCACTCTTTCAGCTTTCACATCTTTGCCAGAGAGGAGCAAATCAATTAGGTCCCTAAAACTTCAATGGTTTCAAAGCAGTCGCTTGAAAACACATTACTCAAAGAAGACAATTAGCAGAATATTCAGGACGTAGGCACAAAATTCAGGTTCAGATGTCCCTGGTTTATCTGCCACTTTCCCTTTTGGGAGTCTGTAGTTACTGTGAGAGATTTTAACATAAAAAAAAGGCTTTTTGAGGAAAGACATATCTGTGAAATATCTGCCTGAATTCTAAATTGTACTTTTTCTGCTTTGCTAAATACAATGGTGGTAACAATCTTTTATGATGTTTTAATAGTAACTGTGAAAAAAAAAAAAAAAGTGACATCTTTTTTGATGATTCATGCACACTTTCAGAAAAATATGTAAATAAGTGGAAATACAGCATTTTAGGTATGGCATTTTATAACTAATGATTCTTTCAGTAAGGGGTCAGAGTAATTTTTTGTAAGCCTCTTTGTGAGACGTTCTTTTACCTGACCTCCAAAGGTAAAATTGAAACTCAAACACGCACAGCAGCCGAGCTG